ATTCGTCAACTTGGCATCTGATAGGTTTTCTTGTAACATGACTGCTCCGATTCCAGGAGAGTCCCACTTGAACTTATTTATCAAATACCGTACTGTAATTACACTGAGATTTTGTTTTTATTTTTATTTCAACGGCAATGTCACCCGAAACTTTTATCTGAGACTGTGGAATGCAGATGTGTGGTCCAGTATTCGCTCTTCTCTTCTAATGTTGAGGCTTCTTGGTGAAAACATGACGAGTATGTGGTCGGTGTGGGAGCGGATATGTTGGATTCCTTCTCTTGGATGTTTCAGATCCAAGTAGTTTTAGTGCTTGGAAGTTATCATAAGGAAGGCGAGAGAGAAAACAAAAACCCTCGTTGATAAATAAAGATTGAAGATCATTTTTGCTCGGAGGTCCCATGACAACCAGCAGAAGTCTGTGTGGAGCAGCAGACTTTGGTGAGTTGAAGCCGTCTCCTGGTACAAGACTTCGAACAGTTGTGTATTCAAAACTTCACCTTTGACGTAGACGTAGTTGGTGGACTTGATAACAATTATAAGCAACAAGTGCAAGTATTGGGGAAGCTTCTTTGAGGCCAATGCCATACGATGAATCATGCAGTGTTTGGCGATAACATTTGGATTCTCCTCGTAATAAAACATAATACAAAGAATGTTTACATACAAGAGTGAAGCGTATAGTATATAGTCAATAAATCTGATTTACTTACGTTAGTTACTTTATAAATAAAAATACCAGAATATTTACGGAGTATATATGTAAAGGGCGATGGCACAGGAGCTGAGCAAAATTCAACAATGTTTTCTTGTGAAGTCGAGGTAGTCTAGGTTTTGTAATTAAGTCATTCACACACACACACAAACACACGTATTCAGTTAACACAGTTTTTTCTCCGACGAGCATAAGCTGTTACTAGTTGAGTAATCAGAGCCATACTTGTTAGCCGTGATTCTCTCTCTCTTTCGCTCTCTCTTTCTAGCTTATTTTTTCATAATCATTTTATGAATCTTAAGAGAACTTGTAAAATTTTACCATAAACTTTCTCATCTTAAAGAATACCGGCTTGATGTTCCGTTCTCTGTCTCTCTCTTTATCTCCCCGATATAGTGAAATGTGGCAACCATTAACCGTAGACTTTTCTGTACACCACACTCGTGTCAAAAGTGTCTTTCTTGTCTCACTTTCTCATTTTCTCTTTCTCACCGACTATGTCTGCTTCTCTCAATAATAATAATAATAATAATAATAATAATAATAATAATAATAATAATAATAATAATAATAATAATAATAATAATAATAATAATAATAATAATATATGGCAAGTTCACTGTGTTCTTTCCATTTTCATGCATTTAACCATCTATCTCTCTCTCTCTCTCTCTCTCTCTCTCTCTCTCTCTCTCTCTCTCTCTTCAGGATACCAACTTTCAGTCTCACGTCTCACCACAAGTTAAGTACAAAAATCTGTCTCCGTAAGATACTTTTTTTTAAAAATAGTTTGAGTCAAGATTAATGGCAATACTACCCGGGAAGCCACGGGAGGTGAGGCTGTCTGCTGACGTAGCGCTTTCAAGACTGTCTGCTGACGGGGGTATATTATGGCTGTCTGCTGAGGGGGTATATTATGGCTGTCTTCTGAGGGGGTTATCAAGGCTGTCTGCTGAGGGGATTATCAAGGCTGTCTGCTGAGGGGTGTTTTCAACACTGTCTGCTGACAGGGGTATCTTATGGCTGTCTGCTGAGAGGGGTTATCAAGGCTCTCTACTGAGGGGTGTTTTCAACACTGTCTGCTGACAGGGGTATCTTATGGCTGTCTGCTGAGAGGGGTTATCAAGGCTCTCTACTGAGGGGCATCTTATGGCTGTCTGCTGAAGGAGGTTTGTAAGATTCATTTGTTAAATTTTAATTCTTACTGGAAATGTGAAAGCGTATATAAGTACCTCCTGCAGCTTACCTCCTACAGCTTACCACACAAAGATGGATTCTCAAAATGTCGTAAGTTAAATTTCCTCTTTGTTCATATTAAGGTTATTCTACGATGTTTGCACTCAGATATTTTTTTTGTCTCCTTACTGGATATATGAGAAACATTTTACTGGCTTAAATTAATTACCTTACAAACGTATGGATTCTCTTAGTTCACAGGCGGTTACTGGGAAATAATTTTTCAGTTTAATTGTTAAATAAAACATGTAAGAGCCTATCTAACAGGTTTAAATTAAGTACTTTTACAAAACATGGATTCTCAAAATCTCGTAAGATGAGTTTTCCCTTAAGGTTAATTCTACAATGATCAAAGCATAACAAATTTTCCTCTTAAGTAGAGATGTAATAGAGGATTTCTATCCGGTTACGATAAATTGAATATTCCACGAAAAAAAATATGAATTCTTAAAGTTTTGAAAGTCATATTTATCCTGGGCTATCATGAAAATATTCTGAAAGGTTCGTAACTACCAATTTCTCTTCTAATTTTAAACTTGGGAGTCTTTCTAAATGGCCCTTATAAGTTATGACACAAAGATGGATTCTCAGCGGTAAACCTGTTTGATTTTCCCTTAATTGGAGGAAGAATACTTTAGCTGAAGTACCAAGGAGGAGATTAAAGATGGCACTAAATCTGCTATGAGACTTTATCACTATTGTTATATATACTTTCCCTTCCTACTAGTATAGGAGAATAATTATGGCCGTGTGATAATACTGGGGTGATGCTGAAGAAATGCTGTATAGATGCTGTGGGAGAAGTTATAATATGGTGTTGATGCTGAGGAGATGCTGTATAGATGCTGAGGGGGGAGTTATAATACTGTGTTGATGCTGAGGAGATGCTGTATAGATGCTGAGGGGGGAGTTATAACACTGTGTTGATGCTGAGGAGATGCTGTATAGATGCTGAGGGGGGAGTTATAATACTGTGTTGATGCTGAAGAAATGCTGTATAGATGCTGAGGGGGGAGTTATAATACTGTGTTGATGCTGAGGAGATGCTGTATAGATGCTGAGGGGGGAGTTATAATACTGTGTTGATGCTGAAGAAATGCTGTATAGATGCTGAGAGGGGAGTTATAATACTGTGTTGATGCTGAGACGATGTAGTAGTAATGTGTTAAAATTATTGCAATCGCGCTTTGAAAATATTGCAGTAATTTGGTGAAAAGAAGAATATAATAAAGTTAGATAAAAATATGACGAGGGAAAGGAGGAAAAGGTGAGGAAACTGAGACAACAGAGAGAATAACAACAGAAGAAAGAGGGCAGTATATGAGGTAAGAGATGAGATGGAGAGAGAACATTGTATACTATTAAATGACTGAGGATGACGACGGTGAAAAGATGATCGTTGGCTGAGAAAAAACGTGTTCAGAGAAGATTCGGCCATCAGGTTTTTCAGATCTCGAGAAGGTATATGATGCTATGACATTTAGAGAGGTGGTAGAAGGGAAGATGACAATGACTGAGGCGATGTATAAAGATATATCAACTGTTGTGACTGAGAGAGAGAAACAGGTGAAGAGTTTAAGGTAGGGTGAACCTCGTGCCCTAAAAGCCCTTTACTGTTCTTAATGCTAATGGAGGTGATCGTCACAAATATGAAGGAGGAAATGATGAAGGAAGTGTTATTTGCAGATAACTTGACATTTATGGAGGAGTGATGTGAAGAGATACAAAGGACATTAGAGGAGTGTTAAGATAGATACAGGAGATAGGGTGTGGGTGGAGGAGACTGGTCCATATTTGCAAATAACTGCTAACATCAATATCCTGAAATAAGTTGAGAAGGGCAACGGGTAAGGAAGGTGATACAATATAAAAGAGGTGTAAAGGAGGATACATGTAAGCAGGGACATCAACAAGGGGAAAAAATAGTTGGAATTATATGGGATAAGACGATAAATAAACATCTGAGAGGAAAAATACAGTACTGGAGGCGTATGTGATAGCAGTTTAAAGTACCGTTAACTGAGAGACAAGACGAGACGCTGCAAGTTATGGAGATCAACTGAGTAAAATAAAAATTATGTGGCGTACAATGACAGGAAAAAAAAACACTTTTGGCGGTGAGAGAAGACGATAAGAAAGGTAGTATAGGTTGGGATAAAACAGGATGTATACAAAGCAAATGGGAAGAGGGGTAGGGTAGAAGAATGTGGAAGATGGAGATGGAGTATAGAAAGGGAGAAAGAGCGCAAGAGGAGAGTGAAAGATGGATGCCGGAGGTAGAAGGTTGTTGATTCAGAGGGAGGAGGATTGTGGACTAAATGTGGAGCGACCAGACAACAGTGTGGTGAGGAGAAGGAGAAGCTGCTGCGGAGTTGCTGACGA